CACACTTGAGTGGGAGGACCTTAGTTACTCATTCACTAACCCTCTCTCAACAACCCCACCCGAATAGTATGACTGTTGTGCGTTTTAACGATGTATTGTCTCATGTGTATAACTTGTTTTGTACTTCCCTCCCCCTGAATTGTGAGCCGCCCTGAGTCCCCTCAGGGAAAAGGGCGGCATACAAATAAAGTTAAAATCAAATCAAATCAAATCAATCCCCGGTCAAACACTTTAGCAGGGTAGCCACTTGGTGACAAAGCTGCCGTCTCTCCTAGGGGACCCTAAGAGATGAGAAGGCAGCAAATCCACGTGTGTGTGTGTGTGTGTGTGTGTGTGTGTGTGTGTGTGTGTGTGTTTCTCCGCCTTTCTCGAACTGGCAACTTTTCTTGGCTGAAGTTCCTCCGACTCTTGGCCCCAGCTTTTAGAGCCAAAGAGACCACCTTCCCTGCTAGGTAGGCCAGAGGTCCCTGTTCCTGAGGGGTCCTTCGTGCTCCCTGAGCTGGGTGGTTTTCTTGCAGATGTTACATTACCCAAACACGGTCAGATCACCGGTGCTGGTAACTAGACTTCACTAGCACTGATGCTGTTCCCTAGTAGGCTCATGAAACGTCTGCAAGAAAACCACCAAGCTCAGAGAGAGCCAAGGACCCCACAGTCCTCTTCTTCCTCTTCCTCCTCTTTTACTTCCTCCTTCTCCTCCTCTTCCAGTCTAGCAAAAAACCCTCCCTTCTAGCACTGATGCTGTTCCCTAGTAGGGTCGTGAAACGCCTGCAAGAAAAGAGAGAGCCAAGGACCCCACAATTCTCCTCCTCCTCCCTCCCTCCCCCTTCTCCTTCCCACAAAACTCATTCCTTTCTAGCGCTGATGGTGTTATCTAGTTGGGTAATGAAAAGTCTGCATGAAAACCACTGAGGTCAGAGAGAGCCAAGGAGCCCCTCGTGTCGTCCCCGAGTTAGAAAGCTTTTCCTTTTCTGGTTACCTGCTCCTCCTCAATCCGGCGTTGCAATGTCTCGATGTAGTGCTGGACGGCCATGTAAATAAAGCGGTACTGGGCCTCGGTCTGCACCATCCCTGACCGCTGTGACCTCACCATCTGGATGGTCTTTGGGACGTCAATGTCGCAGTCCACCCCTGGAGGGGGAGAAGAGAGGGAGGGAGACGGGCTCAGCCGGGGAGCACGAGGAAGGGCCCCTTCGGAGGACAGGCATGCTCACTCAAGTTTCCACAGGGATTTCTCTAGGGTGCTTCTCACTCGTACGGGTCCCGATTCTCCCAAAGAGGCTTCCCCCCCCACTCCAAAAGGCAAGTGGGGTTTCTTGGATTTTCCTTTGAAAGCCTTTCTCTTTTCTCACCCAAGAAGCTTCTTCAGTTCTCAAAGGAAAAGAAACACCAAGAAACTCCAGCTGCCTTCTGGGGAAAAGTCCCCTTGGGGCAACCACAGGCACCAGTTTGACTTGTGGCCTGTCCATCCCATAAAGGGTGATCCAGAAAGCATCACGGCTGGCCTCACTTAATGCCCGACGCTCAAAACCCCCGATCACGCTCAGGGCAAATAGGGACACTACCCCCGTCAGCCCTGGGCTCCTCCACGGGTGGTGAGACTGCAACTCCCAGGAAACCTAGCATCAGGCTCCCACGGACGCCCCAATTACCGTATTTTGTGGAGTGTAAGAGAGAGAAAATCTGGGTGCGTCTTATACACTGAATACAGCATTTTGGCCTCCCCAAACCCCGCCCCTTTTGCAAAAATGGACGTGCAGAGGGTTTGGGAGGCCTGAAAGTGCTCCTGGGGACCGAGGAGGGCAGAAAAGAGCAAAAAATGGGCCTTTATTGCACATTTCTGCCCCCCCCCCAGCCCCCAAGACCACTCTACAAGCCTCCAAAAGCCTATCCATGCCGTTTTTGGCAAAACATGGGCCCATTTTCATGAAAAATGGGCTGTTTTTTTGCTCGTTTTTGCCCCCTCCCCCCCACAGCCCCAAGAGCACTTTGCAGGCCTCTCAAACTCTCTGCATGCCCCGTTTTTCACAAAAAATGAGGCACGCAGAGGGTTTGAGAGGCCCACAGAATGCCTTTAAAAAAAAAATTACCTCTTCAAAATCTTGGTGCGCCTTATACTCCGAAAAATACGGTAACTCATGAGCCTCAAGCCAAATTTCAAAAGAAATCCAGTTATTTATTAGGCGCAACATGTCAGCGCTGATCCCGAGTGAAGTCAACTCCGCAGCATGTGGATTTATGGTTCAACTGTTGACCCTGTTTCCCCGCTCCTCCCAGAGTGTGTCATCAATCACAATGTCCAATGTCGGTCTGCTGGGACTCACCTTTCTCACGGATGACGTCAATGAGAATGTCGATCACAATGAACGTCCCAGTCCGACCGATTCCGGCACTGTGGGGTGGGAGGAGAGAGAGAGAGAGTGAGTCACATGGGTTCGAGTCCCGCTGCTCCTTCTCAAGCTGAGCATCCTTGCCATCGCCACAGATGCTTTCAGTTTTTTTCCTGCAGCATTTCTCAACCTTTGGCCACCTGAAGCTGGGTGGATTTCAACTCCAACCAGGAAAACTGGCCGGGGAATTCTGGGAGTTGAAGTCCACAGTTCTTAAAAGTTGCCACGGTTGAGAAAGACCATTCTTTTGATACCTGCAATGGACAACAACCGGACCAGCCTCTGCGATGTTCTCCTGCTTGTGGTGCACCTCCTCTAGGAAATCCAGGACGCCGCCAGGATCGCTGGGCACCCCGTGGTCAGGCCAAGCCCGGAAGTGATACTGCCACACTGTCCGCTCAGTGTTGCCCTGGAAGAGAGACCCCCCAGAGATGCTTTGATGAGTCTCTCAGAGGTTGGAGGAGCTGCCTTCGCCTCCAAAATCAGCAGAAGTGGGGAAGACCCACAGGCCCATCGCAAAACTCAGCAGCGGTGTGGGAGAAAGCACAGCAGAAAACGACCCAAGGGCGAGGAGGTTTCCCTGAGTCCTCCTTCCACCCCTCAATCCAAGCTTCCTCTCCAGAGTCCTACCACCATGGCTAGCAGGTCAGCTCCCCCCTCCCCCCTGCACAACATGGCCGAGATGCCCGTCCGATGGTCACTCGGCGTCTCCCGGAAACGTACCTGCCCAACTTTGGAGAGCTTGAGTTCTCGTAGTGTGTAGTCGTGAGCCGTGCTCTCTTTGACGTTACGGACGCGCATCACCCCGTATTCCTTCAGGGCATGCTCATCCGGCCAGTACTTCACACATTTGCTCTGGAAGACCAGGAAGGGGGTTGGATGGCATTAACAGATTAATAGAGTTGGAAGGGACCTTGGAGGTCATCTAGTCCAAACTCCCCCCTCCCCCCTCAAAGCAGGAAACCCTACACCATTAGATGGCAGTCTAGTGTATTCTTGAAAGCCTCAAGTGATGAAGCTCCCACAACTTGTAAAGGCAACTTCTCTTCCATGGGTTGATTGCTCTCCCTGTCAGAACATTCCTCATTGCCAGGTTGAATCTCTCCTTGGTCAGTTTCCATCCATTCTGCCTTCTCTGGCCTTCGGGTGCCTTGGAAAATAGCTTGACCTTTTCTTCTTTGTGGCAGCCCCTCAAATATTGGGAGACTGCTATCCTGCCTCCTCTGGTCCTTCTCTTCCCTAGACTGGCCATGCCCAGTTCCTGCAACCGTTCTTCATATCTTTTAGCCTCCAGTCCCCTAATCATCTTGGTTGCTCTTCTCTGCACTCCTAATATGTCTTAACATCTTTTTTACAGTGTGGTGACCAAAACTGGATGCAGCATTCTAGGTGTGGTCTTACTAAGGCTTTATAGAGTGGTATTGGTACCTCACCTGATCTTGAGCTAGCAAGGGAAGGAGGAGAGCAAAGGCTTATGGGAGCTCAGGTTTAATTCAAGTGGCAAATTTGGACTGAGAGCGATTGTTATCATTATTCTGTTGCTGCTTCGAATGCCCACGGAGAGCTTATGCCCCCGAGGAAAATCCCTCGGGTGTCCAATCACACCGGGCCCAATAAGGCCTTGGATTCAAATTCCCAGGCTGGGCTGCCATTCTCCCCTCGATCATGGGGGATCCTCTCCCCCGGCCTTACCTTCCCCCTCTCCACTTCCTTTGTGGTCATGACGATCACGCGGGAGTTCTCCTGGAAGACCATCCGCCAGAAGTCGTTCACCGTGTTCTGCAGGCAGCCCTGGGTGGCGATGTAGCTCTTCTTGGCCTTGGCGTTGTTGCACTTGGTTTCAAATTCAGGCTGTGGAACAACGGGAGGGTCAGTGGGCGAGACTCGCTCACGGAGGGAGGCAGGGGTCCTTGGGATGCTCTTAAGGCCCAATTTCCCCCCCCCCCATCTGGAGGGGGTCCCTCCCGCTCTCTTTGGGGGGAATTCCGAGCGAAGTCCTCCTGCCCCACCAGAGGAGAGAGTGGTGGTCCATTCAACTCCTGCAGTGGGAGACCGAGAGAGGGACGCCCTCCCTACCATGATGATGTTGGCGTTGATGTAATCGGAAACCGGCTCGTTGGGATCCCCGTCGTGAAGGACGACCCGGGTGTGGTCAACTAGAAAGCGAGAACAAAGACACACTCCTGATCCAGGGAACAGTTGTCGAGCAGCAACCGCAAACTCTTGACTTGCCAGCAGCCACTCAGGCAGCTGCTGGGAGGATGGCAGGAATTAAGAGTCCTTGGCAGCCGTGGAGATGCTTGAACTGCAGATGCTAAAACGGAGCCTGCAAATTTCTGCAAAGCCATCGATTCCCTGCAGCTCAATCAGGCTTCAAATATCTGTCCCCACCCCACTCCCATCACCTCGGGCCTCTGCCGGGGGTCCGAAACTGCCCCACAGCAGATGCCAGCAGCTCCACATTACTAAGAGAGAATTCAGTTGCAGGAAACAAAGGTTCCAGCAAAATCCCACCTTTTAGGAAAGGTTCGTGCAACCAGCAGGCTACAGAGACCTCCCTGGGCCTCCTTCCCCCCCCATCAGACCCGGTTGCCTCAAAGTTTTCAGGGATTTTCCTGGTCAAATCCCAGCAATGCAGAAGCAGGATATCCCCCTGCCATTTGCATAAAGGCCGAGGAAAAAAAACACGATACTGCGCCTTTAAAAATGGGGAGAGCAGTTGGAGGGAAAACTTTACTGCCCACCACCCCAAATGTCTACTTGCTAGTGGGTCATTCGCCTCCCCCCCCTCCCGCCGGGGGTTAAAATTGGGAAAGAGATCCGTGCTCACAAGGCAAAATGTTTTTGTATCGGTTCTTGTTCTTATTTTCCTGTCGCTGTCCTTCTTTCCGGCTGTAGAGGAGCTTGCATTCCTGCTGCTGGAGAGTCTGGAAAAAACAAGGAAGAGGCTCCGGGAACCGACTTCTGACCCCCCTCCTCAACCAGGGGAAGAGAGCCAGAAGGCATCCCCCACCCCCCTTCCCACCCAGAAGCCTCTTCCCTGCCTGGATTACAATGCTCATTTTTTGTGGTATACTTTTTATTTTCCATTTTCATAACATACAATCACATGTATACTATTACATAGCCAATATCCTNCCCCCCCCCCTTGCATCATCAGGACTGGTGAAATTTTATCAAAGCCGAATCTGAGCCCTGGTTATTCCCCGGTCCCGATGAAAGCCGGCCGCGTGGGAGAAAAGCATTCAGGAAGCAGGGGGGTTAAGAAAAATGTATTTATTCATTCATTTCTTAAGTTCTTGGTGTTTTACAAACAGCGCTTTTTCGTTTTACTCCCGAGAAGCCTTGGCGCAGGTTTTTTGTAAAGAAAAATTTCTCAGCACAGCCAGCAACGCAGCCACACTCGTGTCTAAACAGAGTCCCCAGAGAGACATCTCGTGATTTGTGTGCGTGTGGACGTGATCGGCCGGTCGGTCGTCTGGTCAACGCCACGCGCCAAACCGCCATGGAACGGCCGAGGGAACCGGCGGTCGGAAGGCAGCGGGGAGGGGGACTACGGGGGGGGAGGGGGGGCACAGCCCGGGAGACCCCGCCAACTCCTTATGCCGAGACACCCATTGCAGCAGGTCTCCCATCAGCTGGGAAACCCTCCCTTGTCCCTGAAGGTCTTTACAGGCAGGTCCTTTTCAAGGAAAAGAGTGGTAGATCTCTCTCTCTTTATAAAAAAAATTACTTTTACATTTCATGTAATACTCTGGGTAGAATACTTCATACGCTGCTCGGAAAGGAGGAGATAAGGGGAAGAGCTACTTCTAGCCAGGTTAAAAGGAGGCCTCTGCGCCCGCTTCCTTTTTTTCTTTCTAAGTCACGGAGGGTATTCATAAATTAAAAAGGAAGGAAAGGGGACCACTTGGAAAGGCCGCAGAAGAGGAGGAGCAACGCCTTAGGAAAGAACCAGAAGGAAAGAGCCATGATTAGGGCTCGGCTCTCCCGTGATTAGAGTACAGAAGCTGGAACAAAAGAAGGGGGGGGGAAATGCCCCAGTTCTGCAGGGAAGTTAGCGCAGAAGCAAGAAACACAGATGCCCTTTGAGGCTCCCCCCCCCCGCAACCCCGCCCGAGTGCCAAAGGGAGGTTTGTGGCTATTGTGGGGAGCGCAATTACCACGCAGCCCAGACCAGAAGCCGATTGAAGCAGCGTTGGCTTCAAAAGTGTGCATCCCCACAAGCAGGGCTCCCCCCGAACCGTGGCTCCTTTGGACTTCAACTCCCAGAATCCCCCAGCCAGCATGGAGGCTTGTGGGAGCCGAAGTCTTAAAAGTGGCCAAAGTTGTGGGCCCCTGCCTTAAATCAGAACCGAGGCCGGTTCCACCTTATCAGAATGTCCAGGCGCCAAGGGAAAAGCAACCCCCTCCCCAAAAACCCCCTCAAGAGATTGTGGCTTCCTGCTCTTTCAACAGCCCCACAGCCCACCGACCCAGCCAGCCAAGACTTCTCCAGCCATTTCAAATCCCCTTCCCCACCCTGCCGTCCATTGCTACACCAGCCAGATGTGGCGTGGGGAGCAGACGGAAAAAGACCCACCAAGGGTTGAAGGAGACATAGCTTAAGCCCCCCCCACTCTTCCTACCCTGGTTCTCTTTCAAAAGCTGGATGCCCCCCCCCCTCCCCGCCCCATCTGTCCTCAGAAGCTGCTGTGGTGGAAACTGGAAAAAGCAGCCACGATGGGTCGTTCCGGAGCTCCATTCAGACATCCCCCCCACCCTCAAAAAAAAATAACCATCTTCATCCTTCTTCATATGGCGGAGGCCTGGAATGAATCCAGGGATGCTCACAAGGGATTCGTGGAGAGGCGATGACCCTTTGGATAAGTCACTAAGCAACCGAGGGGAAGGGAGGAAAGGGGGGGGGGGTGTCAGGAGAT